GGCATGAGCTCTCTGTAAAATACATGACATTTACTTCTTCATTGCTTCATAAAATGCACTGTGCCCTCATACAATGCCAAATTTAACACTGTTCTCACAGGAATTAAAGGCCCATAATCCCAGCAAGGGATACACAACATCTATCAAAAAAGGGATTGATCTCTCTTTAGGAATAGTTGCCAGAGGCAGAACCTTTCAAACTATCCCTGAAATTGTGCAAGGCAACTTATGTTGCGCAGAAGAGGAAAGTTCATACTACAGGATGCTTTGGTAAACTGAAATGAAACTCTGACTTCAGCAGCCTTTCTGTTCCCTCCCCTCAGCGTGGAATAAACACTGCTGGTTCCTGTACCTGATGAGGAAGGGATGCTTCATAGCAATACAGGATGCTGGTGTCAAAGAGCATGATCTTGTGAGTAACCAGAGCCACGATGCAGTTTCGGAGCCGTGAGATCACCTCCCGGTCAGACAAGGGAACTGGCTGAGGAAGGACAGAGGAAAAGGGATGAATGCACAGGGATACAAGGAAAAAAGCCTTGCTGTGAACCTACACAGGATCCTGAAAGTCTCAGGTTCCTCAGGTGCCTCTGACTGTGTCAGACTATAAACCACCACTGGCAGAACAGGGCTCACCTCCCTGGACTCACCTCCAGGTTGGCAGTGTAGCCTCCAGCCTCGTCATCCTTCTGCTCCGGGGTTGGGTAGATCCAGATGAAGCCATTGTTGCCGAGGATCACGGAGGCACCACAGGGCAGGTCATGGAAATGAGTCTTCTGCCGTTTCACAAGGGAGGGAGAGACCTGAACCAGCACTCCCTGGGCAAGCTGGAGAACAGACCACAAACTCAGTGTGAGAGGCATCATGAGCCACCACTGATAACACCAAGTCACTGATACACACTCACTCCACTCCTGGCCTAGGAACAACTCTGTTTTAACACCTTTTCCTGTGAAACAGTGAATATAAAACCTGGCTGCCTCTGGGAGCACTGGGAGGATTAGCTAATGCCTGTGCAGCCCTTTGAAGATGAAGAATACTCTAAGTGCTTAGCAGAAATGTTAATAATATCTTGATCGTAACTACACATCAACCATCCCTGCAGAAAAATGAGGAGTCAGAGGCCCAATTTAGCAGAACATTTTCCCTCATAATCCAATCACTGTCCTTCACCCTTTGTGCAGTAAGCACACTTCCCTTTCATCTTTTAAGTGCTAATACCCTTGGTCTGGTAATCCCAAAGTGCAGCCTACGCTCCAACGGCCCCTTGGCTTATTTCAATGCACAAAACCAGAGATAAATGCCAACTGTGTAAAGCCTAAAATAGAGCCCTGGGGAGAAGAACAAGTCACAGGGACAACAGCCAGCAGAAGAGGAGTGAGGAGATCTCTCCACAGGATTTAATTCCCAAGTAGCTAGTGGGGAAAACAGAACTAGCAGGTTGAAACTGGACAGGGAGAGCAGTGGATCAAAGGGCAACTCAACCTTTGCTTTGGGGAAACTCTGCTTGGTGGTCCCATGGAAGAGCTGAGGGTCTTCCTATCCTGCAGGAATGAATAATAACAACATCCTGCTCTACTCTGTAGCTGTTTTCTTAACAAACCCTCCAAGAGGCCTTATACAAATCAGCTGGTGCAGAATGAACCCAGAATCAAGGGCTTTGGAATAACTCACCTTCCCATACTTCAGGCTCCGGGTGTGCAGCGATACAGCCCCATCAGAAAATATAGACTGGACCTCTGCCTGTTGGTGCCACTTAAGGAAACAGGGTCCCTAAGGCTGCCCAGTGCCACCCCAGCAAAGCTCTCACCCCCAGACAGGCCAGCCAAGCTCTCCCTGTTCTTCCCACACCCTTGGCTCTTCTGTCAATGGGAGCAGCAGAAGGATACACTGATGAGATCCCCTTCCTGCAGGTAGTCCCTCATTGCAAGCTCATCTTCTGCTGATTTCCTTCTCTGAAACATCACAAGGAAAGTTACATGTAGCCCAGAATGAGAAAACATCCATCAGTAGCTCTTTGTGGGGGACCTTAGGATGCCATGCAAAACACAACCAGCTCACTCACCAGCTCCCCACCAGGTAAATTTATAGAGGACAGCAACAGGACTGAATCCAGCCTGGAATTAGTTTCCACTTTCCATCGCTTCTGCTGAACCTAAGGGGGAAAAAACCACCCAAGGTAAATTTATAGATGAGAGCAACAGGACTGAATCCAGCCTGGAATTTGTTTCCACTTTCCATCGCTTCTGCTGAACCTAAGGGAAAAAAAACCACCCAAACTTATAGGTACACACTTAAAAACTGAATAGGAGCTGCAGCTCACCAAACTGCAGGAGGGGACAGCTCTGCTGGCTTCTTCCAGTCTCATCCCGGTTAATCCACAAGCACCCAGTGCAGGGACACTGATGTGTGTCAGTGTTTTAGGATTCCGGGAAGCGCTTAGAGTGGGACTGAGACACAACCACCCTCCTCCTCCTCAGCACCGCGGCAAACAGGGGGCTTTACCTCCGTAATCCTGCCGACCACGATGTCGCCGATCTCGCCGTTGTACCTGGGGCAGAGAGCGGCGGTCACACACCTCACCTCCCTCACCCGGCCGAGCCAGGCCCCGCCGCCGGCCTGCCCCGCCGCGGCCGCGCTCACCTGGCCTTCAGCGCCCTGACACACACCAGCTTGTTCACCCTCTCCACCACGCCGGCCACCGAGGCGATCAGCTTGTCGTCCTCCACATAAGTACCGTGGCCCCTGCGGAGAGACAGCGGCTACCTAAGGACAGCCCGAAGCCGCGCCGCCACCCCGCCGCCGCCTCCCCTCCGGCGCTGCCCGTACCTCATGTATCCCGTGTCCGTGGTGATGGTGTCCCCCGGTGCCACCAGATGCTTCTCGGCGCCCCGGAGCGCGCTGGAATCCAGGGGCGCGCGGGCCGCCGGCAGCCTCATGGTGACCGCCGCCATCTTGGCCCCGCCGCACGCGCCTTCCGCCCGCCATGTTGGCTGCTGGCGAGAGCGCGCCTGAGGGCGCGGGCGGCGCCATCTTGAGTGAGGGCAGCAGGGGCGGTGACTGGGCAGCCATGTTTGTTCCTGGCAGCGGAGAGCCTCTCTGGCTTCGCTCCGGTGAAACCCAAGGGGGACCGCTGCCATTTTTATTGCGGGCAGCTCCCGGCCGTGACCCGCTCCCTCAGAACCTGCCCGGCAAACTGGGGTGAAGCTCGGGAACCCTCCCCCCGGGCTCACAGCCCGGGCCGAGGCGGGGTGCAGCGCGTGTCCCCCTGAGAGCAGTCCTCTCATGCCGTCCCCAACTGGCCGGCTGACACTGGGCTCAAACATCCCCGCAGGTCTCGGCGCTGAGCCCTTCCCCTCGGCCGAGCTGTGCCGGCACGAACTGATACGTCCGTGGAAAAGTTTTATCAATTCAAGCACTGGTTAGGGTCTCAGGGCTGCGGAGGAAATGCCAAAAGCAGCCCGCCATAAGATGCCCGTCAGCAAATATTTCTTCCTTCCAGCAGGGCTTGCACCTGTGTCGAATGACAGCAGAAATTTGGGCACTAATTCATGGAATATATCAAAGGATGGCAGTAGCTGTGGCTTCAAAGAGGGACTGTACAAGTTCACAAGAAGAGGGACTAGCAGGGTGGAAGCAGTAGATACCACGCACTCTGGAGTGAGCCAGCCCTTACCCCAGTTTCCAAACCTGAAAAAGGGCTTCTTTAGCCAAAACCTGGGTTTTTTTCCCCTCCCAGATGCACTTCTTGATCCAACAGATGACACCATATCTCCTCACTCACAGATTGTTGTGTTAGTTAAGACCTTCCCTCATTCCAATACTCACATCCTTCCCCTGGCACATAAAATAAAGCTCTCCATGCAATCCCTCTTCTAAATGATAAATGTTCCAAGTAATTTTTATTTAGAATACAAGAAAGGTACAAATGTATTTACACTGTGTACATATACAATCAAATAATATATAATATCAAAGTCTTGTAAATAATGTTTACATAAATATTTACAAAGTTAAAGTGACAGTTTTGGGGGTTTTTTTCTTTTGTTTTTGTTTATTTTCTTCTGGAAGTGAAACACGTTTTGTGAGAACTTTATACATCTTAGACTTATAATTAATATTAGAATACCTTTTTTTTTTTTTTGTTTTTAAGATTTATGATACACATCTCTCCTCCGCAGTGTGGGGACTCCAGAGGGCGCTTAGAGTTGTCCTTGGGGACGGAGCTGGCTCGGGGACAGGTTTTCTCTGTCCCCAGAGGGCAGTAGCAGTTCCAAGCAAAATGTTCCTTCAGAGCTGGGAAAGGGATGGGGAGAAGAGCTGCCAGGGCTGGAACGGGCACAGCCCGGCAGAGCTCACGGTCCCCACAAATCCTGCCTGTGGAAGGGCATTCCCAGCTGGCACAGTGTCCCCTCTGCCCACAGCTCGGCTTGGAGCAGTGACAGACCCCAGGACAGGGCTTCGGCTGGAGCAGGGCGGGCAGAGGGGGCTCGGATACAGGAAAATGCAAATGTTCATTAACTCCAGGCTCCCAAGCAGGGAAAGGTGTCCCTTGGAAGGAGCCACCAGGGCCAAAGCCACTCCTGGGGCAAACAGATATGACTGGGGTGGCCTCATCAGGGCTGTGCCAACCTTTCAGTGGGGCACGTGTCTGCTAGAGCAGAGGAGGACACATAAGAGGAATTTTTCTTTCTTTCTACCAAATTTTCTGTAAAACCCAGGCATGACTCCTCCAAACCTGGCTTTTTGGCTCTCCCAGTGCACTGGCAAACCCACACAAACCCACAGCCCACCCTGTGCCTCATCTCCCTGGGGATGAACTCCCACAACTCAGCTGCACAGCTGGGGGCTCCTTTTCTGCCGACCCTCTGCAGTCAGCGATGCCCAAAAACAACCCAATACCTGTGAGACACAAAGCAGCTCAGCCAAGGGCCACCCCCCAGTTCATCGCATGTCTGAGCATCAGTCTCTGCTGTCCCAAATCCTGCTGCCACGCCGGGGCTTCACAGCACCATGGTGGGGATGTGATGGGCCAGGGAGGCAGGGTGGGGCACGGGCAGGGCGGGCGAGTGGGCCTGCAGGGAGGCGTTGGGGGGCCGGTGGCGGGCGCTTTTCTGGTGCGCCCGCAGCCCCGCCAGCTGGGAGTAGGCACTTTGGCAAACCTGGCACTTGTAGGGCCGCTCGCCCGTGTGCAAGCGGACGTGGTTGCGGAGCGTGGAGGACTGGCTGAAGCGGCGGTTGCAGAAGCGGCACACGAAGGGCTTGTCCAGGGTGTGGATGCGCATGTGGGAGCGCAGGTTGCTGCGGGAGTTGAAGCCGCGGTGGCAGATGACGCAGCGCATGCGCCCCGTCGTGCTGGCCCCCGTCTCCACCGCGTGGAAATCCTCTGAGGACGACAGGACATAGTCAGGCGCTGCCCTCCAGCATGGCATCTCACCCCAGCATAAGCTCCTGAGGTGCTGGGTGCTCTGGAAAATCCCCACTGCCCTCTTGCTGGCTCCCTGCTGCTGAGGTCACCTATCCTCGCTGGCTCTTAGGATTTTGGGATGCAGCCAGTGCTGGGAATGCACTCAGCCAGATTTAGCTAAGGGGTACATTCAAGCTGAGCTGAATGAATCCCTTATAAATGGGCATAAAACCAGTTTTCCCCTCCCTGGGCTGAAGCAGAGCTGGAGGAGGTGGGTGCAGGAACTCTCAGGGACCCCCAACCACACTGTCCAGCCCCTGCCCCAGTCCCAGCTTGTCCCCTCGCTCTGCTGGGCTCAGACATGGCTCTCTCAGAGTGGGGAGCAGAGTCAGGGAGCACAGAAGTGGCTCCAAACACAGCCTGATCACTGCTGTGTTACATAGAAGCACCTCAGGGAGCCACTGAGATAAGCAGAGAGTGAAAGCCCAAGGAGAGAAAACCCTCCTGTGTTGGTGGTTAAGATCCCTTAAAGGCAGAGTGAGGCTGTAGAGTCTGCATCCACTTGGTGTTTGATGGAGAGTTGGGGCTGCCTTGCACTCACATCCTGCACTGCTCCTCCCTGCCTGGCTGGGTCAGGCAGCGACTGCCAACACCCCACCAGCAACAGCAAACTGAGCAAACTGCCCTGGAGGCATTGTCCTGAATTACTGAGGACCTGCTCAAGCTGTGTGGATCATTTCATAGTCCCCGTGCTTGTCCACAGAGAACTGAGATATCTGACATACCCCGGGGTGTCCCTGCCTTGTGCCCACCCAACGGCCTCAGAGCTGGGCATGGTGAGCAGGCAGGGATGCTGCACCCTTGGCTCTTTCTGATGTTACCTACCATGTTTGTTCTTCTTCTGCTCCTCTTCCAGCCCTGGCACACCTGGGATGCCCAGGAAGGTGTTGTGGGAGTTCCCATACCAGACCAGCAGCTCTTGATCTGGAGGAATCATCTAGAAAGAGAGATAAAGAAAGGGTTGTTGGGAGGGGCGACGAACATCCGTCCCCGCTATGATCCATTGGGACCTACCCTGGCTGTGCCCCATTTCTGTGAGACCCTTCTGCCATCTGGGACCTGCCAGCAGTCCCCAACACCCACAGGCAGGCACGGAGCAGCCCAGGATGCAGCAGTGGAGGTGATGGCACAGCTCAGCACCAGCACAAACCCACTCCAGGCTCTCCCCCCAGGTGGGTACAAATATATTTACAGGTAAATATGCAGCTACAGAGCACAGGCACAGATCTGGAATCTCTGGAGTGCAGGACCCAGAGGTCCCAGCAGCTTGGGGAGACCAGGACAGGGTGGAACACAGAGACAGGGAGAAAAAAAAAAAAACATTTGTGAAGTCACAGCCAGCACAAGTGACAGAGACTAAAGCAAAGAGATGGGACATGGAGCCCTCAGGGCTCCAGCAGAGCATTTTCTCTTTGGACAGAGCCATCAGCACCCTTCAGTTGCAGGGCACAGGCAGCATCTCCCACACACCCATCCCTGCTGGGGCTGATTTTAGAAGGTGGAAATGCAGATCCACCAGCAAAGGGCTCATCAGCCTGCAGAGCAGAGGAGAGCTCGGGGCTGCTGTCAGAGACCATGGCTCAGGTGTGAAGCGCTGCTTATATCCCTCACAAAGCTGCCTGGAACAGCCCAAGGACAGCTACAGGAGCAGGGCAGGGGTTTTGCCTCATCCACACTCCCATTTCCCTGCAGTGATGGGATTCTCCTGTCCCTGCTGTTCCTGCCGTGTTCCCGCATGGCCGGGGCGAGCGGCCAGGAAACGCCGCTCACGGCTCCCCTCGTGCAGCAGCCCTGGCTGGGGAGATGGGTCCTCTCAGACCAGTTCAAACAACACTAATAACAACATCACTTCATAAAGAAATACATGTTTTCCCTAGCAGTCCCTACTGTTAAGAACCTAATTTAGAAATAGGAACGTCCTGCGTTTTGGAGGATGGCTTTCTGTACACTGAGCATGTCAGATTCCAGTAGAACATTATTCACATGAAACACAGATGCTAAGTTCAATCACTTCAACACTGAAAATATGTTGAATTTAAAACATCTGAAATAAATAGGAATTTGACTTCATATCTTTGTCCCTCTGCATAAAGACCTCACTGGGCTGCAGAGGAGGAATTTGGGATTCAGAGGAAGCTGATATCCTTTTGCATCCCAAATTGATGACACTGTTTCTTGGCATTATTTACTCTTAACAGAAAATTAGTCATTTTTAATACAAGCAAATAAAATATTGCTGAAAGGAAAAAAACAATCTGCATGGGTGCATGCATGGGTATGTGGTTTTTTCTGCTGAAGTTGCTGCAGCCACACCAGCAGCAGGTGAGCACCCATGTGCATACACTCCAAAGGAAATTCAATTTGCCCCCCAGAAATCTTGTGGCTTTCAGATCAAAGGCCAAAACTTTCTGCCTTAGCTTTATTTTCCAGCAGCAACAACTTGGTATTGCTGAGAAAGAGGATGGGAAAAACAAATCAGAAAATAAGGGCAGGAACGGGCAAAATGCATTAAAATATCCAAGGTAAACAGGAAAAAAAGCACCAAATCAATCTGGATTTTGGCATGTAGGTGAGAAAGGCATCCAAACAGATGGATTCCCTGGTTGGGCTGGTAGGGGACGGAGGGTGACAATGGCTATGCATAGACACCTCTGGTGCTGAGCAGGGCAGGACCTAAGTTTGGGTCAGTGTGTGCGTGCCCTGCCGAGCTCGAGGAGCAGGGTGACAGCAGGGACCCTTCATGCACAACTCCTCCCACACATCTCTTGGGCTTCTGCACTCTCAGCATCTCAAATTCACTGCTTGTGCCAAGGGAATTAAACTCATCCTGCTCCACTGCTCGCTGCTCCAGCCCTAGGAGCAAGCCCACAGCTGGATCATGGCTATACTCAAACATTTGTTCACCCACCCTCTCTTCTGTGCCTGTAGCAGGTGTAAAAACCACAGCTGTGTTCCTAATTACACCACGGCTACCTGGGATTATTCTACTTATTTGCATAATTTAAGAACAGTAGTAAAAAGTACTTAAGGTGCTGTCACAACAGGCACAGCTGCCCACAGGAATATCAGGTCTTAAAACTAGGAGCACCTGAAGCTTGTTGTCCAGCAGGAGAACAGCAGGGAAGTGCTTGGAGCTCTTGGGAAAGGTGGCAGAGCCCTAAGGGCACACAGGACTCTCCAGCAGGAGGGAGAATATCTGATCCTCTTCCTACCCACCCATTCTCCTTTTGCCACCTCATGGCAGCAATTTCTAACCCAGCCCTGCTGTGGTCCTGTGCCGTGGAGCATTTGGGTTTGTGCTGCTGTGTGAGCCAGTGCAGGAGCCTGGACAGATCCAGAGCACTGCCTGTGCCCACAGAGCCAGCAGGCACTCATGGTCATTCCCAGCTGAGACCCTCTCCCACTGCAAACACTCCCCAGGTGAGACTCTGAACCTGAGACTGGAGCAGCACAATCCCAGTACGGGTCTGGGATGGACTGGGACGTGTCCCCCTTGCCACTCTTTAAGCCAAAGCTGCTGCACAAGGCCATCTCCCCAAGCCACCACCTTTCTCCACCTGCAATAGCACTGGGTTATGGGGACACTGCCCATAAGCAGGGCTGGTCCCCACCATCACCCCACTCTGGCACTGTGGGATTTGCATGCACATGTCACCACTAATGCCGGGCAGCTGAGACCCACCTCCATCCCAGAGTCTCCTGTGGAGAGCTGTGGGCACCCTTCAGCCATCACCCCCCTGCACGGCAGCCTGTGCCACCCCTGGGACCCTGCGGCACACCAGCACTTCATGCAGGAGCACAGGGATGAGGGGGCAGGAAGAGCCCCCTCCCCACAGGATAAAGCCCAGGGCAGAACTGCACCAGCCCCACTCCCTGCCCTCTCCATGGCTCCCTGCACAGCCAGAGTGATGCCCAGGCAAAGTGCAGAGTCAGGCACAGCCTGTGCTCAGCACCTGGGTTTCACAGAACCCCCCAAACTTTACCCTGCTATAAAGAAGCAGGTTCTGCACAAAATCCCACTTTTTCAATAGAGCATCCAAGCCCTGTTCTTCCCCAAAGCCCCATATGGGCCAGAACTGCAGCTCTTTTCATGCTTTACACCCCAAACAAGGATCTACTCTCGCCCTGTTTAACACACATCACTCCATGAGCTCATGGAAAGAGGACAGAGAGGAGAAAGGACCTTTACTACTTCCTGAAGCCCATGCAATGGTCCTTCTCTGTGGTTTCTACCTCTGCTGGTGGATCTGAGCACCAAGGATGGAAAAGCTGCTGTGTTCTTCCACAGACAGCCCATCAACAACTCAAAGAACAAGCGAGGGAGAGTCTGCAGGGCGGGTGATCCCACCACCCTACTCTTCTATTGCAGATTCCCATTGCCCTTCAGCCCCACTTACCTCAATGGCCTTGTAGAAGATGCTGTTCCCGATCTGGACCACCTCGAGGTTCTGCTCCTGCTCATTCCGTGCGCATTTGATGTAGGTCATCCAGCTGCGGTGATCCTCCTGGCTGGCATCGATGAAATACCGCACGGTGCCATCCTCATTGAAAACCTGTGAGGGCAGAGAGCGCTTGGTAGCGATGCTGCCTGCTGTGGGCTGAGCCCCTCCACCCCTGGGACAAGCTCAAAGCCAGCAGAGCCTCGGGGCTGAGATCCTGACAGCAGCTGGAGATGCCGAACCCTTCCTGCTCATGGTGCTGGACTGAGAAATGTGTCCTGCTCTCACTGGCACGGCTGGTCCTGCCAGCCCCTATCTCCCTGCGTAACCTTCCTCAATTTCCCTTCTCATCAGAGCCCCAGCAGCAGCTCAGCCCTACAGGAAGGGGCTGTTCACCATCCTGGAGCTGCCATGGGAGCAGGAGAATCCCTGGGTGGAGGGGGAAGGTGCATGCTAGGTCTGGAAAGATGCTTAGCAGGGTGCCGAAAATGATGAGGCAAGTTTCTGTTAGGCATAAAATTACAATAATAATTAACAATAATTAAGAAGTGCAATTCTGAGTCAAACAAATGAAAAAAATAGGAAAACCCTCCCTATTCACTGTGCATTAGTGCACAGTGTCCTGGCATCTCAGATCCCCCCAGACTCCACGGTTTCATTCGGGATTAACCTCACCAGGGCTGGGGCAAAGCAGGGAGTAAGGGCAGAGCTGGTTTTGTCCACTGTGGCCAGTGCAGGCAGCAACCAGTCGGGTGTTGCACCAGGACGGGATGGGCAGGGCAGGGCAGGGCGTGATCCGCATGCACAGGATGCGAGCAACAGCATCTCGGGGCTCCTCTGTGGGCTGGCTGCACCCCGAGGGCTGGGGAGAACTCATCCTTCTCCTGCAAGGGGTTCCTAAACCCATCTGCCCAGATATTCGCATGAATGGGGAAACTGAGGCACAAGGATGGTGCCCAAGCACGGGGCAGAGCCCCAGGACCCCATCCCCGCTTCTCCCCAGACCAGTCGGGGCTCGGGGTTCGGGGGGGGTCGTTACCTCCCACATGAGGTTGTTGTTCTTGCACAGGTCCACATGTTCGGGGGAGATGACCCTGCCCGTGAACGGCCCCATCTCGGTGCCAGCCTTGATCCAAGTCTTGGAGAAGATGCCGAGCCCTTCCCCGGGGATGGAGCTCTGGGCGATGATCACTTCCGACGGCAGCACCAGGCTGGAGAGCTTCTGCACCTCTGCGAGGGGGGAGAGCAGCTCAGAAAGGGACGGGGGTGGGGGAGAGGAGGGAGATCGGGGGCGGCGGGGACCCCGCCCCAGCCCAGAGCCGGGGCTGAGCCTTTTAAACGCCCAACCGGGCTCCCACAAAGCGCTACAAGGTTCCCCCGGGGCATTGAGGAGGTACCTGGGAAAAGCATCCCGGGCTGGGCGAGGGACCGGGGCTGGGAAAGGAGGTTAAATGGTGTCTATTTCGGCCCATCCAGCAATTTGTCATGCTGTTAAAGTGATCTGCATTCATTAAACTCAACTAGAAAGAAATTGCTAATTCTAAATTCATTAGTCCTTTAGGAATGCTGTAGCGGTACATTGTGCCTGAATGGCGCGAGGGCTTGTTTAAAAGGGCCCAGGAATTCCTCTTACAAAATGGGGAGATGAGATGGTTGACATATCGTGAATGGAAATGGAATTAGCCTTCATGGTAAATTAAGAGAGGAACAGAAATCCGAGAGGGGGAAAAGGGAGCTGGGACGCCCCGGCGATGCCGGGGCGAGAGAAAAGATATTGTCCCGGGCGGCTGAATGCGGGACGGCCCCGGCCCCCCCAGCCCGCGGTTTAAGTGGGAACTTTCTCAGGTCAAGCCCAAGTTAACCAAATGAATTTAAAGCCCTTTTTCCCCAGTCCCACGCCTGGGCAGAGCGGGGCGCCGGGACCGCATCCCGCCGCCGGGCTCCGGGAGCCGGCCCGGGGCCCATGGGGGAAACCGGGGGGATCGAGGAGGCTCCGGGGGGGGAGTCACTCACCTCCGGAGAAGGACTGAGCCAGCACTTCGGCCGTGAACGCTGTCTTGGGGCTGCTCTTCTCCTCGAAGAGCTGCTCGCCCAGGACGTTTCTCCAGCGGCCGTAGAGGAAGCTGTGCAGGATGTCGGAGGTGATCACCTCGGCCAGCGAGAGCCCCTGCGGCTTCAGCCCGGGCTTGAGGACCAGGGCCTCGGCGGGCAGCACCGAGCCCATCATGGGGGCGAGGCGGCGGGGCCGAGCGCGACGGGGCCGGGCGCGGCGGGCGGTGGGCGGCGGGCTGGGCTCCGTTAGGCTCGGCGGCTCCCGCCCGGCTATATATGAGCTTCATTGACCCTCCTAATTGGTTATTAATGACCTCCCTGACGTTGGCGGAGAGACTGGGGCTGCCGGAGCGAGGCGAGCCGTCGGAGCCCCCCCCTCCCATCTCCTCCTTCCCTCCCCTCCCGGGGGTGGGGTGGCTGGAGGGAGGGAGGGACACGGCGAGCACACACACACACACAAACACACAGGATACACACACACACATACACACACCGATACACACACACGCACCGGCTCGGCCCCCCGCACCGCCCGGCCCGGGCAAACCCAAAGCCGGGCACCTGCGCCGGGCACTGCACAACAGCAGCGAAACGGGCAGAAATGTCCCCGCCGGTGTCCCACGGACGGGGCGCACCCTCGGGCACGGTCCCGCTCCCCACCTGGCCCCGCACTCGTTTTAGGACTAAAACGCTGCGCTTTGGGGCCATTGAGCACCAAAACGAAATCGGCGGCCCCGAGCCCGACAGCTCCCGGTGCTCGGTGGCGTTCGGCCCTCGTAGCCCCGGGGGAACGGGCTGAGGCTCCCGCAGCTGGTCCCGACCGTGCCCGGCTCCCCGCTGCCCCCGTCATCCCCCGCTTTCCCAACCGGGACCGACAGCACCGGGAGGCTCCCGCGCTGCTCCCCCGAATGCCGGAGAGGGTCCCCAAGCACGGGGAGGGTGGGACAAGGCCCCGGGGCTGATCCCCGCTTGACCCCGGGGCAGGGCTCACCCAGCTGCCGCCGCCAGCCCGGCCGGTCCCCGATCCCGCATCCCCGCAGGAATTGTGCCCAGGTGTGGGTTGGGAACCGCTGGTGGATCCGCGGTCTCCCTGCAATCACAACCGTGCCCTGCCGTGTCCCCCCAGGGCCGGACCCGCACCCGGGCAGGCTGCGGCATCTCCGGGGCTCTGCCGCCGCATCGGCCCCGTCCCCGCACCCGCGGGCATTCCCCGGCCAGCCTCGGCGCCCATCCCCGCCCTGCCGAGCCCGGAGCTCCGCAGCCGCCTCTGCTCCCCAGCAAAGCGGCACCAGAGCGGTGCCCCCAAACCCAGCGCTCCCCTCGGGGCCCGAGCTTTGCCGGCGCAGCAAAGGGTTAATCTTTCCCGGATTTAAACCTAGTCCTGCTGTGTCGGAGCTTAGAGCCCTCTCCTTAGCCTTGTTCTTTTGATTTTCATGGGGACGAGGGGCTGGAAGGGGCTGCGGGAAGAAGGCTGGGCCCCCAGGATCCTCGGGCGCTCCAAGGCAGGTCCCCGCAGCCCGGAGCCCCAGGCAGCCCCGCCGGGTCTCACCGTGCCCGGAGCAGAGCCGAGCACAGCCCAAACCCCCAGCCTGCCCCTGGGTGGGTTCTTATAGGGTGAAACTGTGGAGTGTCTTCTGGCGTGGGTGAAATCACGCTACAACCCATGTGCAGTTAATTATTTCTATTATTCCAATCAAGAAGCAACGCAGATGTCAGGAACGCACCCAAACCTGCGCTGACTTTCGGGTCTTCGCTGGAAAGGGGATGTTAACAACCTGCCAGGGATTGGTTTAATAAACGTAAAAAATAAGTTTATTTTGTTTTTCTGGACTTGGGCTAGAGGAGCCGTCAGAATATTTCAGCCTTGCTAAACATAAAGCATCAGGTGGAAAGGTTCCCAACACCGGCTCCCTCCAGCCGCCGAGGCAAGCCAGTCATCGGATTGCTTTTTTTATTTTTTTTTTCCCCGTTTCCCCAGGAAAACCCTTCAACCTTCAAGTTATCCCGGGACAAAAAACAATAATAGATGGTCTTGAACCCCCTGCGGCTCCGGTGCGGGCTAAGCTGAACCCCACTCCCGGCTGCGGGGGCCCGGCGGTGTGGGGGGGTGACGGTAAAAAAAGGTGGGAAAAAAAATTCTTCCATTTTCTGCGTGGTTTTAAATATCCCCAGCTGTTTCCCCAAGCTTCTTCCCGGTCCTAGGAAGGTGCTTTGCTGTGTGTTCCCCCCCCCCCCCTTACCCCCTACTCATTTCTCTTTTTTAATATCGCAGCTATCCCTCCTTTTTAACATTTAAGAGGAAACAAGTTTAATATTCATGGCTGTTAATAGAGAAGGGCCATTATCGCCGCCCCATTGTTCTGAGCCCCGCACAATGCTGCTTGTATTTTCATGTGTATATTCCCAAAGTTCCTTCTGAGCGTTTAGTGAGCACTTTAATATTCATGGGTGTTAATAGAGAAGCCCTCAGTATATTGGCATATTGTTGGGAGGTGTACATATTGGTCTGACTCTGAATAGCCACAGTCCTCTTTTCTTTTGCTCTGTTTTGCAGGGTTGATGGGCCAGGAGTAAATGGGCATTTTTCCCCCCCGTCTCCCCCTTACAGAGAGAACATCTTTATTCCAGTCCCAGACTTTCTGGTTTCCCATTCAGGACCCTCAGAAATAATGTCAGGCAGAAGAAAAGTGGAGCAAATCAATCTTTCATGGTCTTTTTGAGACCAATTTGACATCCATGGACTCTTCTTTTCTTTCACAGCCTACAAGGGGATGGTCAGGATCTGGACAAGGTTGGGGTCTGATGAGGGGAGACATGGGATCATAATGCAGCAAAGAGAGAAAAGAAAAGCAAAACAAGAAAAGATTGCAGGGATGGGGTGATGGAGGAAAAATGAGGGTGAATGACAGTGCAAGAAAGGAGATTAGAGCCCAGCAGCTGCTTTTTGGGGGGCGGGGGGGAGGGGGGAGCTCTCTCCCCTCTTCCAGCCCTTCGCATGAATAGGATTTGAACAGAGCGGAGATTGATTTATAGTTATTGCAGTTGAACATTTATTGCTCTTAAAGAGTGGCGGGGAGAAAAGAGAGAAAAGGGGTTTGAAAAGCTCCTTTCTGTATTAAAGAGGTATCAAATGAAGACTGCTGAGATAATATACAGTGGCCAATGGGAATTTGATTTGCTTTAAAATTTAACTCTTGTGGGGCCGCCGGCGATGGAGCGGGGATGAGGGGATGGAGCGGCCGCTGCCCCGGGCCGGTGCAGCCGCGATTCTCTCCTCAAACCCCGCATTCGCTGCCCGGCTTCTCTGCAAAGATCCGCGGCGGCTCCGGTGCGGCGGGGAAGGGCTGCAGGGCAGAAGGAGGTTTTGTGCTTCGTTAGTACAATTTTGTATTATTTTTATTTTTATTTTTTTCCCCTTGTAGTGTAGAACGCAGGAGGGATGCAGAAAATAACCGGCTCAGGGGAGAGCCCTTTTCGAAGCTGAGTTTTTCTTGCCCTAAAAGCGGAGGTTTCTCCTCTCCGGCAGCAGAAACGCGATCGCAGCCGAGTCCCCTCGGGCGCAGAAAGGAGCCCATTGTTCAATGGGGAGAAATACATTTTTAGCGGTGATTGAAAGCTCCCCTCTCGTTTGAACTTTAGAAGAAAGTCCCTGGCAGGGAAGAGCATCCCCCTCCCTCTGCCCCAACATCTGTTTGGAGCAATCCAGGCTCTAGGGCAGAGCCGGGCTCTGCCCCCTCCCAAAGTCATTAAAAAGATATTAGTTGAGCTGAGAAAAGTCCAGCGCAGCCCCCGATCCGGGGTGGGGGGGCTGGTATGTGTCATTAAAAACGATTTTGGATTTGCCAGCGCTAATACGAGGCGAAGGGCCCGCGGGCTCTGAGTTGAAAAGCCCCCCGGCCCCGCCGCCCCGCCGCGCCCTGCCCGCTGCCCGCGGCTCCGGTGCCCGCGGCCGGCGCGGGGCGGCCCGGCCGACCCCATCACGGGCTCCGAGCGCCCGGCAGGGACACGGCCGAGAGCCGGGCTGCGAGCCGGGACGCTCAGCTGCTCCGGCCGCCACCTCTGCGCCTCCACGGGCTGCAAATGCCCCGGGAGCCGGAGGGAAAGGGGGGCAGGAGGGATCATCGCACCCCTGCGGGAGCCGGGGGAGCCGGGGCAGGAGGGATCATCGCACCCCTGCGGCTGCCGCAGGAGCCAGGCGCCTCCGAAGTTGCTAAATGTGTCATTTATTAAAGCATTCAGGGGGCTTTTCTTTGGCGTTTGCTTGCAAACTCACAAAGGCCGAGCTGCTGTTTGGGGGTCTTTTCTGATGGAAAAAGGGCTCGGAGACCCCCGGCACAAAAGAAATCCTGGCAGTGCTTTCAATGGCCAGGACTCATTGAGGGGGACCCTGCGCGGAGCGGGCGGGGGCGAGGGGCCGCCCGGTGCTGCCTGAAAGGCAGGGCTGAATGTAATGGGGAGATCTGCGTTTATTTGTTGGGATCACATTTAATTAGCTTAGTACAACCCTTGAAAGACAAAGGGACCTCAATCTGGATCCAATCTGAAGCTCGTTTGGAGAGCGAGGGCTCCTGGAAAAGTCAAAAGAGAGAAAGGAGAAAGAAAAGGGAGGCTGGGAGAGAAAGGGGCTGGGGGCCCAGCCAGGTGACTGGCACGCGTGAAACAAGGGGGCCTTTTGGGCACAAGGCAGGGCTCAAAAGGGAGGGAGGAAAATAGCCTCTTCCTCAGGTTTTACCTACTTAAACCCCCTGAAGGGGCTGGAGCTGAAAAGCCTCAATGGGGGCTAAGGAGGCTGCAAAGCAAACAGCAGCGCTGGAGAGGGGCTCGGGCCCTGCCGCCGCAGCAGTTGGTGACACTCGGTTATGGGAATGTGCCCAAATGTTCCCTGCGCCCGGGAACGCTCCTGCCAGCGGAGCAGGGGGTGCCGGAGGACACGGCGAGGACAAGGCGATGCCCAGGGTGAGCCTGGGCTCAGGGGGCCGGCGGATCCTTGGCGAGTTCCCTCTGTAGGATGGAGGGAATCTCCATCCCACCTGTGCCTTCACCCGCACCACGCAGCACCCCTGAACCATCGCCTGGGCAGCTTCACCCGGGGCCCGAGGGGACACCGAGGAGGGGTCCCCATGTGTGCACCCCTTGTTTCCGAGCAGCTCCTGGAGTTCCCCATCGCAGCGCCAG